GGGGACAGCCCTGCCCCGGGCAGGGGGACACCGAGGGTGGCAGAGGCCATCCCCTTCACGGGGACAGCCCTGCGGCCGGAGCGCGGAGCGGAGCAGGGGGCTGAGCGCTCAGGAGGCTGCGGTGGGCGCTTGGGCTGTGCCAGGCTGTGGACACTTGCTTTATTTTCAAACAGGTACGGAAATGAAATCAGGAGCTGGTATTCAAGCAGGTATGGAAATCATGAGCTGACCGTGAATGTGAATTGTCCCCAGCCATTACCACACCTGAGGGCCCGGCGTCCTCCTCCTGGCCCCGCAGCTTTCCGGCAGGGCAGGCAGGGCAGGAAGGGGCGTAGGGAAACTGCAGGGCAGTGACTGGGGCAGGACTGGGGATTTGGAGAGGTCAGCAGAGCTCCCCTCTGCCACTGACCCGCTCTGCAAACCACCACTTTCTGTGCCCCAGCTTCCCAGACCCCGAGAGGGGGATGATGTTACACAGCCGTGTTTTAAATGCTGCGGAAGTCCCAGAAAGTGCCATTGTGGGACAAAAGAGAGGGAGAAGTGCAAGTTTCCAGGGCTATTTGCAGGCATCAGCTTGTTTCAGCATCGTGGGAGAGTGCTGGCCAGCCTCCATTGGCACCAGAGCAGGGCTGGGTGGATCTTGGAGCAGATGCTGTGGGATGTGCTGCCCTTGTGCCTTCCTCATCCCCTGCCCCAGACCAGGGCTGCTGGGGGAGCATGTGGCCAGCAATCTGCTCCTCTTCAGCCTGCCCCTCCCTTTGGGAACTGTGCTTGGAGGGAGCGGAGGGACTGAGCAGGGAGATAACAAGGCTCAGGGGCTCCAACTCTGACCCCCTCCCCACAAACATGATTTCATACTCCACCCCCCTTCCCCACACCTCCCAAGCTGCTGCCAGGATCTGAGTGGATAAATCAGCTTTGCTGGCTGAGCCACAGTCTGAAATCCCTGCTGGGAACTCAGCTCCAGAGTTTTGTAGGCAGAAGGATGTAATCCCAGCTCTGCCTCCCACAGACCCTGCCTGCACATCCCACCCCACAGCCTCAGCCCCGGCACGGGCCACCCTCCTGTCCCAGTCTTTGTGGCACCCTCAAGAGCTTGGGAAGGATGGCAGAGTTGATAAGCCATGGGAGAAGGCAGGAAACTGGGATATAAAACTGGCAGGGGCTGTGAATGACGGTTCTTGGGTTAACTCATCTGTCAGCCTGCTCGGATGCCATTTCTCTTTCTTAATAATATTAACACATTGTCTTCTTCTGCACTTCATCCTTTCGAGGTGCTCATTTGTTAACCTGCAGGGCACTAAGGAGAGCAGTTTTTAACCTGCTCCTCTGGCTGCCCCCTCCTCTCCCTCCCAGGGGAAGCTGAGGCACAGAGAGGTCAGGGCTGCACAAACTGCAGTGTCCCAGGGGCAGCGGGGACGGGGGAGCGGGGAAGGAGGCCCCAAAACCCTCCCCGGGCTCCTCACCGAGCCGCTTGCCAGCAGCCAGGGGTGGGTCCCTGGGGGGAAAAGCCACCTCTGGGACCTTCATCCCGCTTCATGCTCCCTCTCCTTCCTCTTGCAGAGTCGGTGCCCATGGCGGTGATCATCGGCGTGGCCGTGGGGGCCGGCGTGGCGTTCCTGGTGCTGATGGCCACCATCGTCGCCTTCTGCTGCGCCCGCTCCCAGAGGAGTAAGTGTGCCCCCCTCCTCGGGAAGGGGCTGGGGGAAAACTTTGGGGAGGGGGGCGGATCGAGTGGGTCAGGGAGAAGCCAGAGCCTGAATTTACTGACGCGGCACCAGCACGAGCTGCTTCTCATGTTGGTCTTCCCAATGTTTGCTGCTCCAGTGGTGGGAAGGTTGGAACACCAGGCTGGAAGACGAGGAAAAGAATTTCACCCTGGTTAGTGGTGTGCAAGGAGCAGAGGTATTACAGAGATCAGCTCAGGAATGATGGGACCAACAGAGCACTTGGATATTAGGAGAAGGACTCATTTCCTGCCGGGGTGACTGGAGGTTCCTCTCCCAAGACAAACACTGGAGCATTGTGGCATCATGTTGGTCTTCCAAATGTTTGCTTTGCCCATGGGAAAAGGGAAGTGTTTGTGGAAAAACGTGCTGATCCCTGTTAGCAGCACAGGCAGCTTAGGAGGCATGCAGGAAACCTCTTAATCCCTCCCCTGGAGTAATCCTGATGTCCAAGAGGGAGAAGCATCCTCGCTGTGCCACACCGGTGCTTAAAAACCCTCCACGGTTCTGCTTCTCTTTTAATTCCAATTTTCCTGACATAGCATGCATATTCCTGGTGGGAATGACAGCCAGTGGAGGGATTTCCATGGGATATGTGGGTTTTGGAGTCTGGCTGCAGTGGGAATACAAGTTAAAGTGACATTAGAGACATAGGTAGAGAAGGAGGGGGAAACTGTGGCATCGAGTGGCCTCATTAAAAGGACACCAGAAAATTAAAGAATTGTTTACTCCATGAAAAGGCACCAAACCAGGAGGGAGAAGAGTGTGATTGTCTGGAGCATCCCAAACCTCTGGGAGAGGAGGAATTCTCTGTAGGACTCTGAGCTCCCAAGGCACACGGTGCAGATGCCAGGATGCCAAGCTCTCTGTGTGTGTGCCAGAAAACCCAGTTGTTTTATTTCTCCCTTTATTTTCCCCCCTTGATGGTTTGCAGAGCAATCAGAGACACGAGGCTGCTCCCAGATCTGGTTTGGACACCCAGACTCCCACAGCAGAAATGTGTTTAATTTCCAGAGCAATAATGATGCCTCTCCCTGTTTTATCCCCTTTTTTTGAACTCTCACAGCCTCCATTAGAAAGAATTAACAAGTTAAATGGGGGAATTCGTTAATCTTGCTTTCTGGGGAAGGACTGCTGACAGACAGGACCCAAGACCATGCCAGTTTGATGTTGTGGAGATCACTGGGCAGCGAGGGATGATTCCAGCACCTGAAGGAAGCAGGGCCAAGCTGTGTTCCCATGTCCATGGGCTGTGCTTTCCCCACACCACACCCTCTGGAGCAGGGACAGCCTGTGGTTCATTAGCTCCCTCTCATCTGATGGAACCAGATGGTGCAGAGCTCTTTACAGGACACACAATTGCAGGGGAATGTCACCATAACAGATCCCAGACACGGTGAAAATGCCAGGATTTAGTCCCTCACAAGCTGGAGGCGTTCAGGGATGGGCTGGTCTTCGTGGGGAAAAGCCAGGAGAGGACAACCCCATCGCACCCAAATGCCTTGTGTGATTTATCCCAGTGATAAACTGGGAAGAAGAGGCATTTTCCTCACCAGTATATGCTGGCAAGGATACATGCTGGCAAGAGGGTACTGGGGGCACAGTGGCAGGGTTTGAAGTCCCTTTTTCTCTGCTCTGTTTCCAGTTCTGTCCTGCTTAGAAAGGGCTTTTGGGTCTTGATATGCCATGAGCTGCTGAGTCTGGGCACCTTCCCTGCTCTGCTGCTCTTCAGCTCCTCCCACAGTGATTCCCTGGGGAGAGGTTGGCAGCATTCCCGGACCAGGGAATGAGTCCCTGTGCTTCCCACAAGGCTCCTTTGCCACTTCACTTTGGGATCAGAGGAAGCAAGAAGAGATCATCCAAGAGCTCAGCAAAGATCCCTGCCCTGACCCTCCCCGAAGTGAAATGGGAGGAGGAGAGCCAGACCCAGCCAGGGGCAGCAGCAAATCCAGGGTGCAGGTGGGATTCCCCAGCCTGAGATCCATGCAGGGCATGCTGGTGGCAGTGGGGCCACTCAGTCCCCCTTCACATGGCTCCAAAAGCCACTTGGAGCTGCCAAAACAGGGTCTCTCCTCATTTTTTGGGGGGAGCTGGGAGCATCAGCAGCTGACCTGGCCCCACAGTGACACTCAGGGGGTGCAGAACCCTTCAGGGGAGGACTTGAATGTGCCAAGGGAACTTTTACACCAGTTTCGAGGTGCTGATGCCAACTGGATGCTGTGGCCACTGTCTCCAGTGGTGGGAAGGTTGGAACACCAGGCTGGAAGACAAGGAAAAGAATTTCATCCTGGTTAGTGGCATGCAAGGAGCAGAGGTATTACAGAGATCAGCTCAGGAATGATGGGACCAACAGAGCACTTGGATATTAGGAGAAGGACCCATTTCCTGCCAGGGTGACTGCAGATTCCTCTCCCAAGACAAACACTGGAGCATTGTGGCATCATTTCCAACAACAGCCTGGTGCAGGCTGTGGGAACAGTTGTGTGGAGGGGACACGGTGACCCAGCAGTAACTCAGGGGAAGGAACCTCCCGACCCAGCCACTGACCACAACTAATGGCACTGGAGGAGGCAATTCCTGGCCTTGTTTTGGGGAAATGCAGGGGAAAAAAAAGGAAAAAAAAAGGACCAGGTGCAGACACACCGAGCCTGGAGGCTCTGGAAAAGAAAAAGATGACTTTACTGCACATCTGGTGTTGTATCTTCGGTGATTTAACGGCCCAGAGTTATTTAAGGGGGAGCACTCCTGGGAGAGAAGGTGCAAGACAGTGATTAGCTTCTCCTTGTGATTAAAGACAAAGGCTCTGGCACCAGGAACGTGGCCCCAGCAGGAAAAAAAAAAATAAAAGGAAAATCTGTAGTAACTTCCCAGCAAAAGGTTTTGCCATGTACCCTGAGACTTGGAGAGGTCTAGGGGCTGCAGATATCGAGGGCAGGGGATGCTGATAAAGATGAATTCAAGGATGGAGCTCCAGGCTGGTCTCGGTTGCATCATCCAGTTTGGTTTAGAGATAAAACCCCCCTTTGCTGGACTGATCCCTGCAATCCTGGCCTGGCAGAGCCCTGCTGGTTCCATCAGCTGGAGGCAGATCTGACAAACCAGAGGTTCAAGGCAGTTTTGGGGGCCGGGAGGGCTGGCACAGCCATCCTGGGAAGTGAGAGCCAGATCGGAGGCTGGAGCGCGGCTTCAAAGCCGTTGAGGTCTCACTGCTCACATTTGCATCCGTGCCTGCTTTTCATCTCGGCTTTGCCGCCGCCTCTGCTCCCGCTGCTCCTCGGCCCGGGTTTAATTCTCCTAAAACGGCTTGTTTGAAGCACGCCTGACACCTTCAGGGAAGGCAGGGAGTCTCTCCAGGAATGTTTCTCTCTGTTCTGCGGGAAAACAGGCTGCTTGGAGATGACAAAATCATCCCCGGCCATGTCTGTGCTCGTTGCTTGGCCTTTTCCATACGTGTCTGCACCCCAAACTGGGGAAGGCTTTCCTCAGGGGCTCCCAGCACCCAGGCAGAGCTGGTCCTGCCCTCAGGAGCAGTATTTCCTATGAATCAGCAGGCTGGATAATGATTCCACCACCTGTGTGAGCAGTTCTGCTGCAGCCCAGCCCCTGTTAACAGCACCATGAGTGTGGCAGGGACCAGCCAAGCTCCCAAAGGAATTCCAACAGGAATCTGAGCTGCCCAGAGGTGACATGGTAATATTGCTCCCTTAGCTCTTGCATGAACTTGCTGAGCCAGGTTTATTTTCCCTGGTGCTGCCAGGCATCCTCAGTCAGCCCCCTGCGGATGCTCCACCACTGCCTTGGGCTAAAGCCCTTCTCCATCTCCCTCTTTTCCCAGATCTCAAGGGCGTGGTTTCTGCCAAGAACGATATCCGCGTGGAGATCGTGCACAAGGAGCCGGCCTCGGGCAGGGAGGCGGAGGAGCACCCGACCATCAAGCAGCTGATGGTAAGGATTTCCTTCCCCTCCCTAAGAGATTGCTCCAGGAGTTTGATGGGAACGAGCCCAGGCACGTGTCCTTCGTCGCGTAATCCCCGCTCAAGGCAAAGATTACATCCTGCTCCGGAGATCCACATCCTCCTGCCGTAAAAACTCCTCGAGTGACACCTGGCCAAACGAGGAGGGAGAGCTGGGAGGGGTTTATTGCTGTGGCCCGGCTGCCCTCGGGGCTAATTGCAAAGCAAATTTGCCACCTCAGGCGGGGAGAGCTGCAGAGGGAGGGGAGGCACACAAGGGGTGAGCACGAGGTGATAACGAGCTCGTTAA